TGATGGGAGGGATTGTGGGGAGCAGAGGCTCTGGGGGCTGCTCCACCCAGCTCTGCTGTGCAACTTCACCACCACTTACAGCCTGTACCTCCCACAGACCTGAGAGAAAATCAGGTAATGCAGATTTCCTCTTTCTTCTCTTGGGGGACCAGTCTGTTGAGAGACTCATTAAAATGCACTATGCCCAAGATAGAAAAACATCACCTGACAAGAAAATGCTCTTACGGAAAACAAGTCTTTGATAGCTTTACATGCTTCTTGAACGCAGGAAAAGCCAGTCAATAATGTTCCTTGTGGCCTAAAAGCAGAAACATCTGTTGGAGGCGGCTTGCTAGGCTGAATATAGCAGCAGGAAAGCCCAACTGATTAACTCCATCCTCTTCCTAACATGTTTATGTGGTTCCCAGAAATCCCTAGAAAGGGCTCCTGAGGACACTGGCACTATTACAAGCCAGCTATAAATCTGTAAACAGAGAGATAAAAGAAACATTATCCTACTGCAGTTCACCTCTGGCATCCAGTTTGCGTAATTCACACATGCTTCATCTAGTCTCCCTTAGCTGTGGGACAAGCTTCTGATTTAGGAAAAGAGGAAGAGCCCATGGTCTGATGAAGGGAATCGTAAAGCTGCTGTGAGGAGGAAAAGAGGGCTGGGGGTGTCGGGATCCATCTAACCTTGCAAGTAGGCTGAAGCTGGGGAAAAGTAGGAAACATTAGAGCAGTAACGCAGTCAGTAGATGCAGGAAGCACTTCCAGTGTAGCTGGGCTGATCCTTCTCAAAACAACCACCAGAGCCCTTCTCTTCCATCCATTCACCATAACAAGGAAAGCAGCCAGCTTCCTCTTGATTACTTCTCACATTTTGGTCTTCTCTCATTTCTGTTTACAGTAATCCCCTGGGATGAGAATGCTTAAGAGGAACAGTCCTTCCCTGCACGGACATCTTACAAGAACAACTGGACAGCGTGGTAGATAATCTTACCTAGGTTTCCCAAGACAGGTTGGACCAGATGATCTTTTTAGGTGCCATCCAACCCCGGCTGTTCTATGATCTAGGACTTCAAGTCTGGTATCAAGCAACACTTTTGTCTCCAGCATGTGGGACAGCACGAGGGAGACTGCCTTCTTGGTGGGAAGAAGGGATGACTGCTCAGTAAACAAATGCAATATGTCATTTTAAGGACTGTGTTAGGGAAATATGCATTTCCTATCATGTAGCATGCCTTCCCCCCCCCCCCCCAAATGGTGTATTTCTGCAGTACATAAATGCATAAGTCAGAACAACCTAAAATTTACTATTTCAAAAGGTACTAAGCAACTTGGATGTCTTGTAATGCATTTTAATCAAATAATATTTTTAAAATTTACAACAATATTTAAAATTAAAAAGTAAAAATAATTTTTGAGTTCAGGTTAACATAACATTTAATAAGTTTCTCAAGTTTCTTCAATATCCCCAAAGCTGTTTACCCTAAGAAATGTTATTTTCCCTGCTGCATTTTGGACACATAAAAGTAGTTTATTCCACAATTTTAAAGAATTTTCACAGACTATAATTTAAGTTAGGATGTAGAGAATTTCCCAATACCAGTCTCCTTAAGTGTGAGTTTTACTGACCACTTACCATACTGTATTTGTCCTCTAATTCAAGGAGACACAAGATGCGTTCAGTTGAGTCTAAAAGCTTTGAGAACAATTATATTTTGTGTAAGCTACCTTTAAAATAATGCATTGGCATAAAACTGAGGAGATGCACCTATTTGTCAGGCTTGAAAGACACAGCAGTTCCAAGAAGGCATCCACACTAACCATCTTCCAGGATAAATGTCTTCCAGGAATCCCAATATGTGGATAATATTTTGACATCCTTTCAAAGGAAAACAATTAAAATAATCACCCTGTGGGTATATGCCTAAACATTCCTATATATTCAACATTACCAAAATGAAGTATCAACTGCAATCCTGAAACCCTGGATAGCTTTTATAGCCAAATAACACATTATCAGCAACACCATTTCCTACAGTATGCTGTATGTGGGCTGAACAAATATCTGTAAGGAAATACTTGTTCTGATTTCCCATGAACTTCCAGGCAAAATCATGCCTTGAATTCACATTAGCATCACCGGCTGCAAACATCAATACACTATCAAGGTCAAAACATTTGACTATGGTACATTGTTTTTTATCTTTTCAAATATTGCTACTGCAGCTTCCTTACAGTCTTGGAAACAAGCAAACAGACAACAGCCTATTCCCTTTTCAACTGTGCAAAGATAAACAACTACCAAAAAAAAACCCCTTTCTTGGTTTTGTGCTTTGAGGTATCTATTGACAAGAAGGAAAGAAGCCATTTCCAGCTAAATGTTCGCTTTCTTAGTGAGAGAGGATCTAACACATTGCTGGTATACAAAAAAAAAAGTCTCTTCCTAGAAAGACGAATTGTCTTACCTGGAAGTGGAAAATTATACTACTGCTTTCACAATCAAGTAATCACTGGAGTTATTATGTACCATACCAGCACAGGTTTCCAGCACACACCACCCGTTTCTACTAAAAGAAGCTCCAAGTTTCGTCTTTATGAGAAATGCTAGAATTACTTCTTTGTGTTACTCCACTTCCATCTCACTTTCTGTGTGATAGTTCACTGCGCACAACAGAGGAACTCCTCCACGAGCTGCAGGAAGTTTCCTGACAACTACTGCCAGCTTTATTGAGCTACTCGACACCATTTCTCCACTGACTCTGTAAAGAAGAAAGCCTCTAATTTCTTTTTAAGACATGTGTCTTCAACGTCTGTGTAATGTTCATAAACATAGGATCTGGGGACTTCAATAAAGTGCTGCATATAAAGAAACTACTTTTCTTGCAGGCAACGTAAACATGACTTTGCTTTACAGCCGAATAATGGGATGGCAGAATGAAGCAGCTTTTGGTCAAAAAAGATACATGGCCCATTCACTCAGCAATTCTTCAGAGGGAAATGAGTATTCATGGCGCTATGTACAGTCTTTGCTGGATTCATATTTAATTCTGGGTAGATCCTGCTAGCTTAAACGAATAGTTTTAATCAGAGTCTGAGGGATTTACTACCCTGTGGGGTTCTGTGTGTGTGAGAGGGAGTTGTGTGGGTTTTTTTTTCTTGAGGGAATGAACTACCTCAGCTTTCTGGGGTTTTTCCTCCCTTTCAGCTTACAGATTATTAAAATCTGTCAGTAGTAGTGAGGGCCTTGTGTTGGAAATGTCCATCTTCAGAGTTAACTCTTCTCCATTGCATGTGTTTGCTTCTTAGGTTTACCCTCCACCTCCCACACTGGAAAATTGTAAAATCAAATGTGAAAGGGAACCCACTGCTCTTTCCAGCCCTACTAGCAGACTCATCAGAATTCTCCCTCTGTAGTTAACCAGAGGAAACATCAGCAGCACAGCCCAGTGAGAATCCCTCGGGCCTGGAGTCAGCCTCTATTTATGTATTTCCAAACTAAGATTAAAATTCCCAGAGGACCCTGGTGTAATCTCGAACTGGCATCGCATAGAGCTAACCCTGCGTGATGAGTATCTGTCCTCTGTGTAGCCAGCAGTGACATCTTCCAAAGTTTTATCCCTTGCATGCTATTGCCTCACCTGTGTTACAGAGGCCTGAGGCAATACCATGTTTTCACAGGCAAAGTCTCAATAGGGAAGACTGTAAGCTTATTTTTCAAATTTCAGGTATTCTTTATTGCAATTCTGAGACAAAAAAAATGTAGCAACTTTTTCTTCTTTTTGGTTAAAAGTGGATATCCTTTCAGGCTGACTTCCCTCCCAAAAATAAGGTGATTTGTTGTCATTGCTTTGTGAGGGTCTCACTGATTTCAGCCCTCCCCTCACTCCTGCTACAGGTGAGCAAGATGAGACTTCCCCTAGGGCCACAGGGATCTGCTTTGGGCCAGCATGAACTCCTCACTCTGCCAGCAGGTTCCCTCCAGGCAGTGAACTGTATCACATCCTTCAGCACTCCTGCCACCTCACTTCGTGCGTCCCTTCTCCCATCCACTCCCCATACACTTGATTCATGCTCCTTATTCCTGCCAACCTTCCTGCCCTGTTTCCCTAGGCTGCTTCAAGCACTGCCATCTCTTCAGGCTTTCCCACCACTCAGGACACAAATGGAGAAGGAGGAATAGGAGATTTTCTCCTCGGGATGGTTCCCTTGTCACAGTCCTTTTCCAGCTTTCTCCCCCTGTCCCTCACACTCACTCTATGGGAAGAATTGCAGCAGATGGGGAAATGTCTCCTAAAATAAAGCTCAGGTGACAACTCAAACAATGCAAAGCAGAGCAGATGATGTGACACCCCAGCTCAGCAAGTCAGGTACCACAGAGGTGCTGCACAAGGTATCAGGGCCCTTCAGCTGAGTCCTCACAGTAGGACCTCAGGCACCTTGAGCGTGACCACAGGCCAGGGTGACAGGTCACCTGTGCCACATGATCCCAGACAGCCTAGACACGGCCTGTGCTGCAAACCCCCGAATTTGGGTGCTGATGGTAGAGACTGCACAGCAGGGGCTGACACCTAGGTCCATGATACTCCCCCAGTCTGGACCAGGGGCTAACCAGCATGATGCAAACCCATCCTCTTCCCTGGCACAGGAGGGATTCAAACCACAACTGGCACGGATCTAACCCGGCACTTCCAGTGCTTCTCGGGGGAGACAGCAGGGCCGTACATCCCTAAACTCCTGTACGGCTGTTGGGTGGAAGGACCCTGAGCCGGGCCTTTTGGACTCCTGCACCACCAGCTGTTCTCCGGCGTGTGAGAGGGCCCCATACCGGGCAGCAGCGGGGGCTGTGCTGGCGCATGAGGTAACAGAGAGCACCCCGGCTCCAGGCTGCTCGGATCGAGCTCTCGGGAGAAGCAGCCCCGAACCTTACAGCACCGCACCAGGAACGCTCTACAACCCCCCCACTCCTATCACCGCCACGGCCTCCGACCGCGACCGACCGGCAGCGCATGCGCCACCGCAGCGCACCGCCCCACGGCCGGCGCGCTGCCCGGTGCCGTGCTGCATGGCCGGAGAGCTGGTTGTGGGGAGCGCGCTGGGGGGCAGCGGGAGCGCGCCCCACGGCCGCCCCTTCATCTGCTCGTTCCCGGGCTGCGACTCTTCCTTTAACAAGGGTTGGAAGTTGGACGCGCACCTCTGCCGGCACACGGGCGAGGTGAGCCGGGAAAGGAAGGGTTAGCGCGGATGAGGTGAAGGGCGCCGCACTGGGGCCTGGCGGGCGGGCGCGGGTCGGGGCCGGGCATCCCGGTTCACCGTCCAGGGTACCCGAAACCCTATGGGCGGGGTGTGTGCTGCTGAAGGAGCCTCCCGGAAGCAGCCGAATCCCGTAAGAATAGTGTGCCGCTTCTGACCCGCCCTCCCTCCTCTTTTCCCGCTCCCATCTCAGAGACCCTATGTCTGCCCTTACGATGGCTGCGGTAAAGGCTTCACCAGAGACTTCCACCGCGCTCGACACATTCTTACGCACACCGGGGAAAAGCCGTTTGAGTAAGGCCGCGCTTTTTACATCTTAAAACGGATTATGCTAGTCCTTACGGAAGTGGAGTTGAGACTGATGCGTGGGTGCTATGCACGCCTAGCTTTGGTACCATGAGGGCTGCCATAACAGCCCACTGATAGGGTGAGAGCTGTGGGAAAATAGCAGCCTAAAGCCACCTATTTGGCCATGATCCGTAATAGGAACAGGCAGATCTCTCCCTAGAATGCAGAATTAAAGAAGGAATACAGTTACTTCTTATTACCAAGCTTTTAACAGCTGCACATCATGGATTAGGAGCTAGGAATTCCTGCATGCTTTGTTAAGTATCTCTTCTTATGCATCTTCCTGTGACTTTTGGTTGTAACTTAGCCTGTCTTTTTGTGTTGTTCAGGCAATTTTTTATGTCTGGGTTGAGTTTCAGTTATTCTTTGTGTATTCTTGTCCAGCAGTTTCTGTATCTGCCTATGAAACAAATCACTGCTTGGGAGTGATGATAATGTAGTTCATTTGTAGGTGCACAGCTGATGGCTGCAATGAGAAATTCAGAACAAAGTCAAACTTAAAGAAGCACATTGAGCGCAAGCATCAGAATCGGAAAAGGCAATATGTGGTAATTACCTTTGATACTGCAAAGTGGAGGCTAAACAAGCTCCTTTTTATGTATTTAGTGAAATACTTCAACTTGTTATTATGTAGTACTTGTATGACTTCAAATCCCTGACTGGGATTTCAGCAAACACATGTGGACTGGGCTTTCGTTATTTGGTCTCTAATGATAGCTTAATTTCCTAAACAGTGTGACTTCGAGGGCTGTAATGAGTCTTTCAGGAAGCATCAACAACTTAAAGTTCATCAGTGTTACCACACCAATGAGCCTCCCTTCAAGTAGGTGGATAATTTTAATAATGAACTTTAACAATTCCATAAACACCGTACATGAAAACAGGAGACTTTTCTCAACCTTTTCATTAATGTAGCATTTACAAAAGCAGCAAAACCAAAACTGGAATGGATTTATAGTCATGGCTGCAAGTACATTTCCTGTGCAAGTGCTTTGCTCAGTAGTCTGTTTTTTGTTTCTTGGTGCTCTGTAACTTAGCATTCCAGATGTTTTCTACGGGTTTATTACAGGTTCACAGGAAAAATAAACAAAAAGAGCCCCCAGCTACTAGTTCACACAATCTGAAATACAAGCATAACAGCTTGCAGGGTAATGAAAAATGCAGCTACTTCTATTTTTCAGTAAAAAGAAGTGATGTAGCTAACATGGAGTAGTAGCTTAAAAAAGGTGAAAGGCTTGGACACCAACCTGAGAAGCTGTGAGTCTATGATTCCATTCTTTACAGGACACACTGGTACAGATCTGATGAAAGCAAAGTTTAATCTTGTGTTTCTTATAGGTAGAACACACTTAATAGGAGTGTTTCACTTAAGTGATGTTCACTAGTATGGCTGTGTGACAGGCACAAAAATACTGTCAGTGTTCTGCTGCTGCTCTGCTAGATCTGTACAAACCACTTAAACTCTCCACTTTCTCTTTTATCTTTGAAGAGCCTACTGTGTAGGGATGATATAAGGCTTGATTCTTTAGCTAAAGCTTAACTTGCTGTATATATGGAAACTGTACTATAATTTCACTCTCGAGCGGATCAGAGTCCTCTATTACAAACGTATTATGGAATTTACTTTTACAAAGCAGGGAAGGACACACAGATCTTTAGGCAAAGGGAAACTTGTATTATTTTGTCCACTTTAATTGTTCTTGACTTAAAGAGCAAAAAATACTTGGATGCAGTGAAAGAAATTAAACCAGTGTATTTTATACCTAGATGTAATAATGAAGGATGTGGAAAGTGCTTTTCTACCCCAAGTCATCTGAAGCGGCACGAAAAGATTCATGAAGGTAATAGAGTTTTTCTTCTTGCTTCAGTTATGTTTTAGCAAAGTAAAAAGGACTTCTTCAGTACAGAGAATATGCAGGGATGTTCAACAGACATGAAAGTGTTCTGGACCTAGCAATCCAGTCAGCCAAAACAAGAATACCTGTTTTGAGTAGTCAGGTGGGATACAGTTGCAAGGCGTTGCAGTGTTCAATTACTTGTGTCAGGCTGAACAAAGCTTGGGATGCCTTCAGTAATCTGTTTTCCAGTGTGCCTCCTTGTCAATAATCCATCTTCTGGAGATGGGCTGATGGTTAAAGACACTAGCCTAGAATTCCAGAGGTTAGAATCAACTGCCAGTTCCGCAACAGATTTCCTAGGGAGCCTTGGCAAAACCATGTAGACTTGCATTGTTTGAAGTTATTAATGTACCTATGTGAAAAGTATTTAAGTGGGATTTTCAGGAGCTGGTCATGTATGTTTGAGCTAATCCTGCTACACTGCTGTCTGTTCTTTCAGTATGATTGACAGCTAACCTGCTTTCCAGTGCTAGAAAAAAACCCAACAAACCCAGGGGACTAGGTAGAGTATGCAAAAAGCTGCGATTTGTACTGTGTTCCTTTCTTAAGACAGGATGTTCTTGTGTTAATTTGTGTTGGTTGCAGTATGGGAGGAGGAATACTGGCCTTTAATTTTCAAATGCTGGAAGTAGAGTTCCCCCTTGAAAAACTGGACTCTGTTTGCCAAAACCTTTCTGATTGTAAACATCTGTCCAACAGGCTATGCATGCAAGAAAGAAGACTGCTCATATACTGGAAAAACTTGGTCAGAGCTTCTGAAACATAATAAAGAAAGTCATGCAGGTAAACTCAAAATGATTATGTAACAGAACTGAACTTTTGATACAAACAGGAAACGAACTGCTAATTGGAGGAGTTCATGCTGAAATTTCATCAACTTGTCATTGTGTCCACATGAACTTGTATACTAATGCTTTACTGGTAAAATGGTTGTTGCTCTGGCTAGACCTTTAACTGATGGAATGCTGCTCAGTGTACTAACTTTGTGCAAGTTCTCATTAACTTGATCACAAAGTAATGTAGGATTTTGGATGTAGATAATTCATACTGCATTATTCTCTTCCCATCTGAGCTCCTTGCAATTTTTGTGGATTTTAGCATTGTTTTAGAGGACTAGTAAGGTTTGATTCTGAGCTTCTGCAAAAAGCTATTTATTTATACTTTGCCTGTCTCTCTCCTACTCAGACATAATCATTTGCAGTGAGTGTAACAAAACTTTTAAAAGGAAAGATTACCTCAAGCAGCATCAAAAAGTACATGCTGCTGAGAGGGAGGTCTGCAGATGCCCAAAAGAAGGATGTGGGAGAACTTACACAACTGTATTTAACCTTCAAAGTCATATCCTCTCTTTTCACGAGGAGCAAAAACCATTCTCTTGCAATTATCCAGGCTGTGGAAGAACATTTGCAATGAAGGTATGTATTTTTTTACATTGTTCTAATCTGAATCACATAATCTGAAATGATAAACCTAACGTTTTTTTTTCCTGTTCCTTATAACTGTAGCAGAGTCTAGCAAGGCATGCAGTTGTACATGATCCTGAAAAGAAAAAGCTGAACTTGAAAGTAAGTTGTACTCTTGAAAAAAGTACTCTCAATCATACCCTGTAACTTAAGAGGAGAATAAATATTACATGTTTCAGAATAAGACTTCAAGCAGGAAAGCAGGCCAGCTGTCTACTTAATTTGGGGGATTCTTAATTCTGAAGCTCCTTTAGATGATGCAGTGCTGGCATTTTCTTCTTTCCCCATCACATCAGTAGATTTTATTCCATGGATATGTCAAGTTGCTAATTGTGCATTTATTTCTGCCAGAAAAAGCGCTCTCGTCCTAAGAGGAGCTTAGCCTCTCGTTTGAGCGGCTACATTCCTCCTAAAACACAGCCAGGGATGGATGCTGTTGTGACACAAAGCAAGACAATGGATAAGCCCATGGAAAGTGAAATACCAGCTGTTGAAATTCTGACTCTGCAGTAAAGGTGGACTGAGACGACATTCTTCATGGAATAATCAATGTAAAGTTCAACAATAATTTTATTATAGGGTTGTGTTTCCTTTTAAGTGAGATTGTTTATACTTTTTTATAAAGTCATTGATGCAACTCATTTGATTTCAGATCTTCATCTTTCTTTTCTGTACTGCTTTTCTGTTTTTCCATCTTCTGGTACGCTTTCAGCTCCTTGTCAGACATGTGTCTTAAAATACAGGTACTCACTCCTTCTCTAGTAATTTTTGGCTTGGAAAGGTAAGTGGCTTTCTCAGACACAGTCTCCAAAATCTGATCAAAAAGCATGAACTAAAAAGAAGGAGAAACCCAGGGTTAAGTGCACAAGCACAGGTAGAAAAATATTTCAGGCTGTCTGTAATGACACAATCTCCTGCTTGTGGTTTAGCTGTTAGCAGAAATGAGCTACTTGCTAGTACTGGTTTGAGCAGTTAAGCTTGTCCTTTCCTAATCTGTTTTTCACTCATTAGCAGGTTTAGGAAGGTTACCAGAGGAATTAAGCCATTTCCTAACACTTAGGCTGAATTCCTGACTCATCCTGTTTTTGCTGTTTGAAGATGTCCAGGAAAGTGGACTGCATCTGACTCATCCCCACCATCCTCTTCCACTAGATTTGGACATTCCTCTTAAGGGGCAGTATTGTTCTAAGGTCAGCAGAACCTGGTAGTATTGAACTCACTGATACAGTGGATTCATATAACAAGCTGAACTCTTAAGCTCACAATCAAGCTTTTAAATTTAAGGACATAAATCTGGATATCCAGTTCTTCCTGTTACTCTTTCCCTGTGAATTCAACTTCTATGAAAAGTTTTTGTTCCTTTTGGATGAATCAATATCACAGTTTTCTTCGACAAATTTAGTAGAGAAGATCATCAGGGAAACCTAATTCACTGCACATATTAAAAGGAAAAAAGAAAACAAATTCTTACACGGAATCTTTACAAAAAAAGCCACTTGCGCAAATGACAGTGGAAGCAAGTTCAAGGCCCTGCAGTTATACTAGTAAGTAAGTTGCCACCAGCTCCCCAACTTATTTATAGATGTTTACTTTGCCAGTCTTGGAACACTATCCCAGTCGTTTTTCACACAGCAGTGGGCAACTAACATTAGCCACCATTGCACAAATGCAACAGTTAGATTAATGAAATAATCCAGCTAAAATAGCAGCAGAGTCTTTTTTAAGCCTTACTACTAAACTTTTCAGTGAGTGACCTGGCTTAAGGCATTGGCAAGGAAATTTCACCAGCACAGTTAATAAGGTGGGGCTGCAAAGGAGTAGGAACTGTTTAGACTCTGCTGTCAAGGCCAGTACTGTAAGTGCATTCTTAACGCATGGTGTTTGATATGCCTCTATGGGACTACTTTCCTAGAACTGCAGTGTTTGAACAGAAGCAGCTGAAGGTGGGACAGCCATTCCTCTAATGGGACACAGACCTTCACTTATTTTTAGCAGTACATGATGTATTAAAACAGTACTGAATAGAGAGAATACAAGTACAGTTATGTAATGAAACTGGTTGGTTCAGCTTTCAGAAGTGCACTTACCATGTCTGTATTGCTGTCTTTCGCTTGCCGGATGGTAATTTTAACTTGGTATTTCTTTTCAATCCACTGGGCTATCTGTTTAGTCTTGGTGTCTAAGTCGTTCTTGGCAATAGCTGAAGAAAAGGACAACTCTTTCCGAACCATCTCTGTTTAAAACAGAACTAAAATTGTGTTGGCTTAACATCTGACAAACCTTTGTTGTCTTTCAACAGCTTATGGTGCTTGGTCTGCTTAACTCCCCTGCCCTGTGCTGCTTTCTCATACACAGAGCATCTAAATCTCATTGTCTCAGCAGACACCACTCCCACCTTGGAAGGTGGCTACTTGATATCTTGCACTCACCGCTGTAATTGGGAGGCTGAGTGCATGTTTGAAGCATACAGGGAAGTTTCTTCAGGATCAGAAGGCTTTAAGTATTTTTTATTTTAATTACAGTTTTGTTCATACCACCCACAATGCAGGTCTAACAGATAAACAGCTAAGTGCTGGATCTGGAGTTAAAGACCTAGTGTGCAAACTCTACATTCTGCACATAGTACAGTTGAATGTAAAAGCTCTGAAGTTACAGCCCTCTTAATCTTAAACCCGTTTTCTTGAATGGTGAAGCACAATATTCAACTGAAAGTATGATGCCTTGAATTACATTTGATTTGTGCTCTCTTCCTCCTTAAAGATGTCTCTGAAGTTGTTACCATGTGAATAATCTTTTTGTAGCTTCCTGAACAGAAAAAAAGTCACTACCATAATAGTGCTCTCCTCTAAAATTGGAACTCTACCCACAGCGCTGATACCTTTGTCAGCCTGAGGATAAGAGAAGAAGATATAAGGTCAGACACCCTTTCTAAAACCTACTTGCCAAACTCAGTTTTTTAAACTGCTGGAGCAGGCTGACTTAAAAACAGCTGAGACCTGAGAAGCATTCAGTATAAAAGTTGTTCTCTTCCTCTGCACAAGAAAGGGCTCCAGACTTTGTTTTCCTCACAGCAAGCTGGGGAAAGAATGTTTTATGACTACCAGCAACAAATTGTAATTATATAGGTGTATCTGTTGCTCAGTTTGTAAAAACTGCCTGCCACTTTATGCCTTAAAGGAACAGGAATTCAGTGAGGCTCATGGAACCAGAGTCCAGTTATATTCACTTAAACATAATTTTTTTTTTAAAAGCCAGAAGGTGCCAAGATAGTAAATCCTGAGAAGGCAACAGAAGGCTTCTCTATGGAAGACTAGTCTAAGCCAAAATGTTATCTTCACCACTGCAAATCCTTAATAGCGTGAACCGCAGTGACACTGCTTTGGATTTACACAAATGCAAGTAAGAGGATTTCATTTGCTGAAACCACTTCTAATGCAGTATTTGCCAAAGTGGTCAGTGTTGCAGTGTCAATAATGCACATACCTGATTTTGCACTTGACTTTTTCTTCTCTGCACGTTTCAGCTGTTCTTCATGAATCTGCTGCCCAGTCATTAGTCTATATACAGGAGGTTCTTCATTCTCACGCAGAAGAACTAGTTTCAGGTCATGCTGATCCATAAGTTTGAGTGCCTCAGATCGGTGCATATTTCCTAAGCTCTCTCCATCCTGGTTGATGACGTGCAATATCCGATAAGGAATTCTTCGCCCAACACTTCCAAATGCCGTTTTCGGCTCCTTGGGAGTTTTTTTAGCTGTACAAAATGGTTGTGTAAGTCCAAATACTGTTGACTTTGTAGGGTCAGACACCACCTTCCGGAATGGAGAGAAGACCCTCTTATGTTGTCTCTGTGTCAGAATTGTACCACAGAATCTTTTTGCATATCTCTGCTCGTTTCTGGTTGCTTGACACAGAAGTTTCATCACACAAAAGGCAGTCATTCTGAGGAGGCAGCAAAGAAGACAAAACAAGTTACCCCCCATCAGCCAAATACTTCCAGTTACATTAGAAAGACTTGACTTTACTGTAGTGATAGGATAAGGGGTAATGGGTTAAAACTTAAACAGGGGAAGTTCAGATTGGATATAAGGAGGAAATTCTTTCCTGTTAGTGTGGTGAGGCACTGGAATAGGCTGCCCAGGGAGGTTGTGAATGCTCCATCCCTGGCAGTGTTCAAGGCCAGGCTGGACGAGGCCTTGGGTGATATGGTTTAGGGCGAGGTGTCCGTGCCCATGGCAGGGGGGTTGGAACTTGATCTTAAGGTCCTTTCCAACCCTAGCTATTCTATGATTGACTCCAGTTCAGTAAACCCTAGCCCCTAAAACTACTCTTTCAAAAAGATGCAATGGTGTTACTACACAGAATGAGCAACCAACAGTAATTTTACAGTAACAAGGCTTTAACCTGGAGAGAAAGTCTGATGGCAAAATTTATGAAGAGTTGATGTTATCTTCAGTAATTTAAAATTAGAGCCTGGACTCCTTTAAAGAATCCCATACTTGTAGTTCATTCCTCCTCACAGGAGTATCCCCTCTTACACAGGTTTTTTTGTGTACAGAAAGATAAGCCAATATTTAAGAGGGAGAACATGCTGTCAAATAAAAAGGCATGTCACAGTTCTAATGTTCAGTCCAGATTTTTTTTCAGGAGGTATCTAACAGTAGGACTTTCTTCCTGGTTCCAGTAATCATCTTTGGAAAGTGTTTCATTTAAACCACATGAATTTGGAACCACCTTAATCATGTAGTGAAGTGGCAATTTGTGCGGTGTCTCTCAGCAGCCATTCCAACATCTGCAGCCTGGCTCTTCAGTGCAGGTTTTGGAATTCCAAAGCCTTCACCACACCATGTAAGACCGCCATACAAAGTCTTCACCTTGGCATCATAACTTCACAAATTAACTATTACTATACTTGCAAATATGGTTTATCTCCCAGGGCTGAAAACTCCTTCATAGCCAGCATGGAACTTGCTTCTCATAGCACTGGCCCCGAATGATGTATTTCTCTGTTTTCCAAGTGTCACTGTGGAAGCAGTACAGCTGCTAATTGCTCTTAAATGGATTCACTGATACTGTGTCAGTAACCTTAAGATTTTTAATTTTTAAAGTTTCTTCACTGTCGTTTAAGCTCAAGTTCTACTGATTCTGACATGCTCCAAAGTGAAAACAGTGCCTTAATTTTAGACTTATTTTATCAGACATTTAAAGTATCAATTGACTCTACCAGTTTTTCACAAACATTAAATTTAGGGTGGCATGTTCCTATTTATAGTGAACTGATTTTTTTTCCAGTTACCAGAGTTATCTGAATTTTTTACATGCAGAAAGCATGCAACTAAGTGCTATTCAACTAGGACCATTCAATAAAAACGTCAATAATGATACTTTTCTTCCTGAACGACGAAAAAATCTAGTGGGGAAAAAAAGAGACACGGATAAGACTTGCCTGCAACACATGAACTGTAAAATAAACAACAGATTCACAGGCCTAAGATCCCCACATACAAATTGAAATTTAAGCAGTTACAGGCATCTGTCCTGGCATGGTACTCATGCAGCTATAGCATCACAGACTGGTCTGGGTTGGAAGGGACCTTAAAGCTCATCCAGTTCCAACCCCCCTGCCATCGGCAAAGACACCTTCCATTAGACTAGGCTGCTTAAAGGACCATCAAAGCATTCAGAACAAGCCTCAAAATACCCCAGTGCTTGAAATCAAAGACTAATCTTTGAGGCATTTCTTCCATTATATTTTTCCCCTATTTTTCCCTGGTTCATGGATTCCCCGTGGCAATTTTGGTGCACCTGACCATTATTTACATTTCATTCAAAGCTTCAGAAATCAGCTGGTTTTTAACATCCATGAAAACTTGAGAAATAAAGAGCAAACGCTGGAGTATTATCTGCAGTTTTGGTATTCTGTGTTTAAAAGGCAGCAAGCACAGGGAATGCCAAAGATGATACAGAAAACCAAAAGTGATACCACAGGAGCTGGCAGGAGTGCGGCCTCTTTTGCCTAGGGAAGAATGTGACTCCACTCTATAAATATACGCATGTGTGACACTGTAAACACACATCCATGTGTGTACATATACATGGAGAAGGCTGCTCAGCCTGGGGTTTGCAAGCTCTTTCCTCAGCAAGGATGAGGAACTATTTATGATTCTAAGGAGTCCTGTCCCAGGAACAAGTAAAATGACCTGTGAATAAACAGTCTGAGCATGGGGACAGGTTGAAGGCTGGGGCAGACTAACTTTTAGCAGTCAATACAAAGCTGAGGGTGGTGAGGCACTGGCACAGGTTGCCAAGAGAAGCTGTGGCTGCCCCATCCCTGGCAGTGTTCAAGGCCAGGTTGGACGGCGCTTTGACCAACGTGGTCTGATGGAAGGTGTCCCTGCCCGCGTCAAGGGGTTGGAACTGGATGAGCTTTAAGGTCCCTTCCAACCCAAACCATTCCATGGTTCTCTGGTCAGTGAGGACAGCTGTGTCCGTGGCTCTAGTGCGCAGGCAAGCTGCACGCATACCGGCAGCTGTGGAAGAGCCGCCGTTCCGTACGTACTCACGGGACATGTTTCGCTGCGCACACAGGTGCTACCTGCAGCTGCTACAGATGCGTACCCTGCAGGAGCTGCTGCTGTGCATTCCTGCGCTGTCTCGAGTAACGCGAGCTGTGGAGAGGATCTTTTAAACTTTGTGCTTGAATCTGTGCAGGGCTCTGCATGGACGTGCCCGGAGGGGAGGTCACCAAGTGTGTGCGTGTGACCCTGTCACTCGGGCCCAGCGGTATGTCGGTGCAGGCCCGGAGCCCGCCTGGCCTCCCCGGCCCGCGTTCCCTCCCACCTCCCGCGCCGGGAGGCTCTTACCTGCCAGCCGGGCCGAGCCGAGCCGCCGGCCCCGGCCCGCCGTACCGAGCCCAGTGACCGGCCTGGGCCGCCGGAAGGCGGAAGGCTCTACCACCTCTCCCCCTTTCTCTTCCTCCACTCTTCCGCCTCCTGCTGCGTCCCCGTGTGCGTGCGCGTGTCCGCAGTAGCCGGGCGCGCTCCCGCGCAGTGCCCGTGTTCCCGCAGCCGTGCACACGCGTATTCGGGCCTCGTGCGGTTGCTGTATGGGTGTGACTGGGGGTGCGTGTGTCTGTGCATGTGTGTGCACTGTGTGTGCAGGCTGTCTGCACACGTGTCTGCACGCTGGGCACACCTGTAGTGGGTATACCGGGATGTATTTGTGCATGAGGAGGTCTGTACCTGCAGAGAGTTTGTGTCTCCTCGCAGTGTGCATTTGTCTGTGTATCTGAGTATTCCTCTTGTGTCCATGCATTTCCGTGTTGATGTATGTGTGGTGTGTCTGGTTCTGCATGTGTGGTTGTTGGTTGGGTTGTTTTCCTCAGTGTACCACCACTGTTGTTTTGGTTTAGTTTTGTTGATTCTGTGTGTATTTGCTGCACTGGGGTTGTCGCAGTTGGGTGTAAGGACCACTGTGAGGAGGTGCTTCTTGCTGTGCCTAGTGGCCTTCCTAGGGCAGTGGTTTGTGGCTGTGAGTGGAGAGGATCATAGAATCACAGGCTGGTTTGTGTTGGAAGGGACCTTAAAGCTCATCCAGTTCCAAACCCCTGCTATGGGCAGGGACACCTTCCACTAGACCAGGTTACTCAAATCCCCTTCCAACCTGGCCTTGATCACTGCCAGGGATGGGGCAGCCACAGCTTCCCTGGGCACCCTGTGCCAGTGTCTCAGCATCCTCACAGGGAAGAATTTCTTATATCTAATTTAAATTTTTCTCTGACAGTTTAAAGCCATTGCCCTTGTCTGATCCCTGCATGTCCTTGTAAAAACTCCTTCCCAGATTTCCTGTAGGCCCCTTTAGGCGCTGTAAGACTGTTACAATGTCTCCCTGGAGTCCGGTCTTCTCCAGGTTGAACCAGCGCAGCTCCCTCAGCCTGTCTCCATAGGACAGGTGCCCTCTGACCATCTTCATGGCTTCCTCTAGACTCAGTCGAGCAGATCAGTGTCTCTCCCCAGAGCTGAGCACAGAACAGAGCTGGACGCAGTAAGAGGCTGCACATGCCGAGTGCTTTGCCTGTGTGGTGTTTATGGAGGCTGCACACCTAAGCCTCTGCTGTACCTGTCTGCACGTTGTCACATATCACTCCCTCTGTCCCCAGCCATAAGGCTGTGCTGGTGTGACTGAACAAGCGGTGGCTGTGGGCCTGTGTCAGTTACAGGGTTGCCAGGAGCCAGCGGTGCATGTGCGATGTGTCCTGGCGTGTGGTGGAGCTGTATCTGCAGGGGTCAGCAGCAGCGTATGCCTTTGTGGCACCGTGTGAGTTACTCGGAGAGCTTGTTGGGTGTTTGGATTTGTTACCTTCCTTAGGAGGCTGATCAGCATTAGGTTTGCGGGTTCCTTCCTGCCGCTGGCCTTGCCTCTGAAAGAGAAGCTGAAATCTGTGTGCAAACCCTAGGTCCCCAGCTGTAAGTAATGCACTATGAGCAAAACACCAACCAGCGTGAGGGTTTGCTGTTCTGTTCTGGTTGGGCAGAACATGTGCGGAGTAGTAGTGTGTGCTGAAAATACCTTTTCAGGAGCTGTTTGTATCTATTGAGGGATGCTGTTTGACCAGCCAGGCTGGAACTGAGAGCGATGCTGAGGCTGAAAGTGTTCAGAATCTGGTTCAAAATGAAGCCATGGTAAGCAGCTGGAAGGGAGGCCCTGTCTACTCTCCTTCCTGCTTAAAGAAAATCAGGATTTTTAGCTTATTTGCCTTGGGCCACGACTTAAGTGACCCCTCTTTACTCTGCCCCCTTCCTGCCCAGGAAGAAGAAATGCGGTGAAAATCTGAGCTTCATCTTTTTGGTTTGAGAGTTCTCTGTTCTTAACTCTGGTCTTGGAATGGTTTAATTCCATATGCTGGTGGGTTTGGTACAGCAAAAGTCTGTCACTGCTTTGTGCTCCATCTTCACAGAAGACATCATATGGTAATGGTGTGCGAAAC